TATCATTCTAACAAATACAGCAGAAATGAATTAACCTAAAGAAGAGGCAAGGCACCAATTATTCTAATTGACTTGAAAAAGTCATTTTTTAACTCGGAAAAAAATGATGAGGTGAATATGTCCAGGCTGAGCATGCAATAGTATTTTCTGCCTTTAATTGTTTTCTGACATGTATATGAACCCTTTTTGAAAGAAATTCGCAAATATTACACACAGAAAATTATCTCTGATGGCACTTTTCAAATCTGTGCAAACATTTTTTGTAAGGCTACTATGGGATAACAAACCATTTTAAAATCATTGTTTATCGCAAAAGATGAAGACGACAGGAAATTCTAGCAAATCTGCATAGTGTGGGATAGATGGTGCACTAATGCTAATGCTATAAATTCCAATTTCGAAAAATTGACGATACTCTTTTTCTAATAAATCACGTCATTTATGAATCGGATAAAATGAACAATGCAATCATATAACGAACAAGAGTTTTACTAACTGAATTTTCCCTTCTTTTCAAATCGCTTCCATACAAAGCCTTTTTCTAGCCCTTCTTCATCTACGCAGTTTTGCAATTTGTAAAAAAAAAACATTTTTTTCCCAGAGTTAAGCATTGGGTGCGTCACTTTAGTCGAAAAATCCCAAAATCTAAGGGAAACGTTATGAAAAATTTCTTTGATAGCTGACAGTTACTCTAATGTAACTCACCCAGTAACTGAACATCACAGGTACAGTGCTAATGCATTGTACGTTCACTTTAGCTGTATCCATATCCTTCAGTCGTGTTTCGACGTCGAAGCAATTGGGCTCTACTGTTCTTAAAAAAGACGATACAATTAGAATTCGCACAAATTGTATTAGTTTATCGCAAAAGCTGGAATTCTCTTAATTCTACTTTTTGGAACTAACTGTAAGTGTTGTACCTGAACAATTTGCGGTCTTTCATCATATTTGTGGTGCCATCTTCTCGATGATCGAGTGTAACAAATCCAGGGTAACCAAATTTCTGAAAAATACAGACCGTTCAAAGTCTAGACGTCGTAACAATGATAGCACAAAAATCACAGTTAGTGTACATAGTAACCAGATTTTTTTTTTGTGCTTAGCAAGCACGTAAACCTCGCAAACTTCTTCTGCAAGAAATGAGATTTTATTCAACTCTTAAAGTGGTGGCTAATGATTCTAGGAAGTTCTGACCTTTGTTTTAAGTGGAGTTTCAAAATTAATCAAAAAAGCCCCAAGCTTTGAGTTCAAGGCATTAACGATCTTAGGATAATTTGATTATTAAATAAAACAGAGTTGTACCAATTACTGTTTTTTTTCATTATTTACCCTCAATCCCTTGTCCTTCTTATGTCATAATGTATCAATACCAACGTAAGTCGTACTGAACAAAAAAAACGTAAAATAGGCTACATAGTCTTTTACTATCAGAATTTTCACACCAATTTCATTGTTTTTTTTCGCACAAAATATTTGATGACTAAAAGAGCTCTCACGAAAAAACTTCTGTGAAAAAATGACTCTGTGACTATCCTACGCAAAACTCGATTAACTATAAAAAGCTAAATTAATCGAAAACTTCCTCGGGAGAAAAACTTTACCTGCTGAAAATCAGGGATGTCTTTGGGAAGCACATGTGCATGCACATCAATTTTTCGACGATTACTCGCTGAAAAGAAAACTTTGAGTTTTTCTCTGAGGAGCTCTGGATGACGTGATGCACGTCATCATTGCTGCTTCGTCAGCTCGTTTTCGCAAAGAAGGAATATTTGATTGAGTTTCGCTCGATTTCCACAAACAAATTCGTCGCCGGCTGTCCTGCGCCCGGTCCCAAGTTTCAATCCAATTTCGCGCCTTTTCGAACGTGTTTTGTTCTAGAGAGGGATGTTAAATAGAAGAACGTAGGTAGGCTGTGCTGAGAGCATCAATGAAGACATACAGCAAGTATCAGGAATACGGATGACTTATGAGAGTAAATACTAGAGTTTTATAGAACAGGAACAATATTCCTGGAAACTGGAAGATCATTGAAAAAAATTCATATGAATTTTTTACCTAAATAGCACCGTTTTAAGTTGAGCTCAACTACATAATGATTCA